CTGGGTCGTGTTTTGACGGCCCTGAGGCCCGGCAAGGGCCTCCAGAGGCCGAATACAGCGAAGAACTTTCCGTCCGGATCTTTTCATGACTCGAGGGGGTCTGGGTCTCCCTGAAAAGTGCTAACCAATCCAATGCGGGCTCTGCCTCGTCAAGTAGTGTACTCTTGCGACGGTATTTGCCAACCGCCCCCAGCAAGTGGTACGCTGCGGGCCACGCTCGCGCACCATGTGCAACCCCTGTGAACATTTGCTTTCTCTTGGGGGTATCGTGGTATCCTCCTCTTCCTCCTCCTCGACCTGCTCCTCCTCCTCCTCCTCCTCCTCCTCCTCGGCTCCCCGCCCCCTCCCCCTCCCCCTCCTCCCTCACCCTCCTCATCCTCCTCCTCGACATGCCTCCTCCTCCTCCTCCTCCCCTCCTTCATCCCTCCTCTCCATGTTCTCCTCTCATCGATCCTCCTCCTCCGCCCCCTCCCCCTCCCCCTCCTCCTCCTCCTCCTTTTCCTCCTCGTCCTCCTCCCCTTCCTCCCCCCCCACCTGTCCAGCTGCCTGTGTCAAGTCCCGCCACCGTGACGGGGCCGCACTCTGCGTGGCGACGCTTCGAGCACTGCCGAGAAGGCCGTATAACATGAGACACTTGCCGTCGCTTCGATCTTCGAGGGGCTCCCATGGAGGCTAACCGGGCCGTCGTGGGGCTGTTTCGTGCTCCTGCTGCGGCCGTCTTGGGATTTTCGTGGGCCGGGTGGCCTTCCTGGACGCTGCCGCGGGCACTGCTGCCGATCCCATCAGTGCCCCTGCGCCAGGAGCCGTCGCTGACTCAGTTAGCGGAGATGCTCCCGGCACAAGGACTGCGATGGGCATTGACCCTGCTCCTGGTGAGACTGCTGGTCTAGGCAGTGGTCATGCACCTCCCCAGAGGCTATTGCCACCCCCGCTGGCACCGCCTACTCGTCGCCGTGCTGGCGAAACGCCGCCGCCGCAGATCAGACGTATTGGTTGACTCCGAGTTGGCAATGAAGATACCCTGGCAGACGGTCCATCAGTTGCCTCTGCATCCGTGGCATCCACGTTGCAGTGCCGCGTAAACAATGACATTCAGAAGGAGTGCGATGCTGGCGATACTGGAAACTGGGGCACAAGCCGACACTAACATGACGTATAGAACGAGCGGGAGGGCAAGTGGAAATGGCGGGAGACGTCAGAGGAAAAGGACTACGTCATCAAGTTTGCATTGGAGATCGGTCGCACAGAGCAAAACAGATTTGGCTGTGGATCGCGCGGCTTAGCTTTACATTGTCACGAACTTGTTCACGGATTGGACCAATTAAGCTCAGCGCGACCTTGACCATGGGCGGAACATGCGGTTAAGTAAACCGTATGTTGCCCCGAGGCTACATGTTTGATTAAGGTCATGGTAACGTATTGGACAAAGAATTTGACCGTACGTTAGCGCATCGTTTTTATATGTGGGATACGTCAGTCTGCTTCGGCCCGCAATCCCGCCTCGGGTGCCGTAACACGTTTTTGCGGTTGGCTCCGTGGGGGCCAATGCGCCTTTGGATTGCGCGAAGTCTGGCAAGTCAGAAGTGAGCTGAATACAGGCCTACTCATCTCGCCACGGGGGAGTCAATATGAGTCATCCCTCTCCCATTCCCGCCGCCGCCATCGTCGTCGAACATTGGTGTTGGATCCGTAGCCGTAGGAGGCTACAATCCAAGGGTACGCGCGCCCCCCTCCTAGCGCGCGCATATCAACGCTCAATTGCACGCTTCTCTTAAAAAGGACCTATATCGTAACCATGCCCAGCTCAATGGCCCAGCCTAGTGAGGACATAGACCCATTGACGATGGTAGAACGAGACATACCAATCATATTGCCCGAATCTTCCAATCCCCTGGCAAATAGCTGATGCACTTAAGTGCGACGTTCTTTTTCTTTTTCTTGTTCCTTCAATCTCCCTGGGACTCACGACGATAACGACAGCGTCTCACACGCGCCGAGGGGTCGGCGGATTTGCAAACCAGTTCCCGTCGCTCTTTTCAGTCAGGGCCTGTTCCATTGAGGAGGAGGAGGAGGAGGAGGAGGAGGTTTACGATACGACGCGTTACAAGCAACGTTGAATGAGTGGGTGGGCGCACGTTGAAGTGTGCCAATGATTTTTCCCGTGTCTGCAAAGTGGGCTTACGTATCCGTTTCTTTCTTTAAGACTGAAAAATGGGCGTATGTGTTTCCTTCTCTCACCCTTCAAACGGGGTCTGGTTTTATCCGTAAGGGCTTCGCCCCATGCCGCTGGCCCCATGCCTCGGATAATGGGAGATGCAACAGCTAAATCATGAGGCCTGGGCGCCACCGTGAAGCAGTGTCGGGACTTGTTTGTTTTTTCGACCCTGACCCTACGGATCTGCGTCACAAGTGCCACCGAATTTCACAAGTGTGATCATTTTTTGGGACCCTGACCCTACGGATCTGCGTGAGGGGTGCCGCCGAATTTCAGAAATGTGGCAAATCTCCCATGCTTTTGGACCCTGACCCCGCCGATCTGCGTGAGGGGTGCCGCCGAATTTTAGAAATGTGGCACATCCCCTGTGATTTTGGACCCTGACCCTGCCGATCTCTGCGTGAGGGGTGCCACCGAATTTCAGAAATGCGGCACATCCCATTTGTTTTTGGACCCTGACCCCGCCTATCTGCTTGAGGGGTGCCAGCGAATTCCAGAAATGTGGCAAATCCTATGTTTTCTGCGCCCTGACCCCGCTTATCTACGTGAG